TTACCTGTAGAAAAAAAATTATTAAAATATTATTGGAAGGTTGCATAAAAATATGTAGTAGAATAAATATGTAACCATATTTATTACGCAAGACTTAAAATAAATATTAGGGTTACTYAGTAACTGCATCAACTTATAACAAGTAATTTGATAGAAAAAGTAGCTTAAATCGAATAATAACGCTTTGTTTAAATTTACAAATAAACATGAATCACTATACTAAATTCAAATTAATTAAACGTTACATATTGAAGATAATTAATCACAATTTTGTTAACGTGTATTTTATTTTTATTTTTCTGTGTAAAACTTATGCATTTACTTTTTAGCTTGTTGTTTTTTTTACCATTTTTTTTTATTATAGTAAGTATACTGTTTCGTTACCACAGGGTTTATCATTTATATTCAATGTTTAAAACTCAAAACTTTCTATATAGGTACCTAAGTAGTTGCCGCTTAAAGAAAGTGTGTACCTACATTGTGTATACGTTTGTAATTTATAGATAGTTGTAATGAATTTGTTTGTAAAATTAACATATCAATAAATCAATACAGTATTTTTAAAACATAAATTAAAATTTGCATAGTATAATTAACAAATATGTCAATGTTAATACTACGGAAAAATAATTTTAAGATACACTGAAAAACACTATATAATGGCCACGTTGCATGAATTTAATGGTTCAATAAAGTGTAATATAGACCAATCATGGGATACTGAATAAATGTTTAAGGGGCCATTATTTCACTATAATATAATTGATTCAATAAATTTTTRGTGGTTGTTCACGAACACGAAACCCAACATACAACTCATAYTCTATTATACTAATTAATAGTTTTTCGCAAATAGTTCAATATTAATATCGTTTATTATTTTTTTTTTGACTATATAAATTAAATTTGATACATACATTACACTTAAGATTTTTTATATGTGTACATTTCCATGTCTGGAAATTTTTTTATACAGACATTTTTACTTGAACATTTTTTCCATGTCCATTTTTACAAGGTCATAATTTTATACACACAAAATAATGTCATATTTTCTATACRTTTTTTCCACGTATAGGTATGAATGTTTTATTAAATTGGAAAAATATATTTTATATTTTTTTTCGAATACTCGTTTTGTAATGTTAAGTAATAATTTAGTAAATATGTAGGTATACCTACCGTTCTGTGGTAGGCAACGACAATTAGAATAACTCTCAATTTTTTGATTTACTAATGATACTGTTTATACCTATAGGTATTTAGTTGTTCAGCGTTTTATTTTATTAGTTACGTAAAAGGTTTCGAAAAACAACGTGACTTTATATCCAGAGCAAGCGCGTGATACCTTCATCAATTTGTGTATCGTCTTCGTCAATTATGTATAATATAAACCAAATCACCAACTCGCAATACAGACTACAGAGTAGTTTGTAATAATAATGTAGGTACTGTATTATCCAAACAATCGATAATTTAGTTTTGTTTTGTCTATCAGCTGCAATGTTGAGCAAATAACTAATATGATTAACCGGTGATTAAATATTATATCTATTATATTAAGTTCGTAAATTTCTATAAGTATTTAAGTATTAATGATGAATTTGTCAACATTATAGTATATTATTTTATTGTATACCAAACAATAACACGAATAAATATAAAATATAATAATTATGAATTAAATCATATAGGTATATTATGTAGTATAGGTACCTACCAATTCTATGATCAATTAAATTAAAGTGGAGCGTCTTATAATTGTACCTAGGTACTAGTCTTTTTTTAAGGACCACATTTTATTCATTTTACGTTGATAATACGTATTACCTTAATTTTATTATTTATAGTACCTATCTATCAAATAAATGAATACATATTTTATTTAAGTTAATTMATTTTAAATTATAGCAATGTAATCTTTATGAGCTTTAGTCATCAATTGACTATGTTATACAATTTTTAAACCTAACAAACTTTAATAAGTAATCAGAGTATACATAAATAATAAATATAAAATAAAACTGCGAAAATATGATTTAATTTAACACCGTGTTGATGAGGGGGTTTATTTTTTGCATTTACATTTCTCGTTTTAAAACACGATGAATATTTTTTTTTTATTGGGTTAATAAGGCTTTAAATTCTAAAACCTGTAATAATTAAAAAGTATTGGTCTTAAATCTACGGGGAGACATTAGGTTTAACATTAGACGGAGTATCCGAGTATGTGAAATATATTATGTACGAGTGTATTTTTTTTTTTTACATTAATTTTGCTTGTCGTATATTAGTGAAGAAATTGTATATGTTTTTGGAGTTCTCTTCGCTAAGTGTTTTTTTTACCGATAATGGATTTTCAAGAATGTGTCTGGCGTTGTTGAAATTGGGGAATTTTAGTGTGATATGTTTGATCGTCAGTTCTTTGTCACAGAGTTCACAAGTCGGACAGTCTTGATAAATATTTATAATACTAACAAAATTAACAAACAATAGATAGCGCATTTAACGGCGGTGTCCAACTAGTTATTTTCTGTATTTTGCGTAACAAAAAGCATAACGAATCGTGTTTTTGTTTCAAACAATCTATTCAACGAAGATTAGTTTGGTTGCATATATAAAGTGTGGCCGATGAATGCACTGATAAGTCGAACGAGATAGCTGGTTCATGAAGTATACTAAATTTACTGAATTTTAGGATTAAAAAGCAAATTAAATAATTACGACAAAATAGATGTTTAATGTTGGTTCAGTGTATTTAAGTTTTGGACATTTAACCTGATCCTATATTGAACAAAAAAAAAATAATATTTTTCGATGATTTTTATAGAGATGGTTTATTAGTAATGAAGGAAGTATTAATTCTTTTAAAAATTAGTAGTAAGGCCAAYTTGCCACACAGTCTGCCCAAAGCTTTTAACTCTTGTCATGCACTCTACAAAAAAGTATTAAAACAATTATATTATTAGCTCGAGTATTTTTTTGACTTACAGAGAATTAACTTGAAATTTCAAAATGTATAATTTAATATTCAATATTGAATAGTTGAGATAAAATATAGTTAATCTTAATTTGGTTTGCTCCATGTATCTAACGACTAAAGACCAACGCATGCAGTACAATAAGTGTAAAAATATAATATTTTAATTATTTTGGTTGGAAACAATCTATTAATGATTTTGTTAATACACTTTTAAATACTGAAGACATAATATATAAAATGTGAAGAATAAATACTATTCAAAAAGATGCGTAGGTGTTGGACGTACCTATAGGAATCAACKTTTTGTTTTACGAACTTGAAATCTACGTAAGCACATTTTAATGTCGTTATTAATATTGTACTTGAAACGTTCTAAGAAATGTTTCTTTTAATTAAAATTTTAACATCTAAATATTTTGTAGCCATTATAGGTATATGAATAGTATAAATATTATACTTACTCGGTTAGATCGTGTAAATAGCACCATAGCTGAAAGTGAATACTATATAATACAATGTTTTGTATTTATGTACAGATAATAATATATGTTATGCATGTATTCGCGTCATACAGTATACCGTATTTTTTACAAAAACATCTTAAATATATTATTGTTATATACAATGGATAAGGTTAAACAGATGTTTTATTCCAGTTGAAGTTGATACCGAGAAATTCAACGATGTATGAACGGAAATCTTACGGTTACGCTACAGTGAACAATTATAACATTGTTTTTGTTTGGGGGACGAAGTTGCGCGTTTATATATGCATTTACGACCCAATGTACCGACAAGTTTTTTATTCGTTGATAATGACGTGTATATTCTTCCATTGTTGACATTTAAGAAATGTGGGGTTATGAATTCCACCTGAACTTAAACCATTTTACTGCGTTTTGACATGTTGTTTTCCACGAATTTGAAAACACGTTTTACCTGGTTAGCGAGTTAATTAATTTTTAAGTATAAATTATTTTAATTTTAGACAGTATATTATAGGAATTCAACTTGAAAAAAAAAACGTTATATTAGCTGCCTTAGTCATGGTTTTTGATTTCAATGTTTTGTATAATTGATGATATATATATTACATCCTAATGTTTTTTTATAACAGTAATAAGAAATAATTACATAGGTATAGCAGGCTTTGAACGAGCTGATATAATTAGACGTAATAAACCATTAATACAAGCGGAAATTAACATTAGTAAAAGTAGCTGATGTTTAAATACAACAAGATTTACAAGGTGTCTACTTAACTAATATTAATTAACCGCACGAGTTTGAACAAAATCTAAAAACAATTGTAATTTCATACTCAAACACTAAAAGTGTTACATTTTTTTGAGTTTAATTAATTTGATTAATATTAAATATTCATCCTATAATTCATATTATTATACCCAACTGTTTACACATTTCTAGTAAAGTGTATTATATGTAAAATGTTTTTGCTAGTCAATATAATTTGTTTAGTTAACAAATTAGTTTTTATAAATTTTATCTTATAGGAACTAGATCCTGAACATATTAATAGTCAATAATAGTGGTCTTTATTGTACTAATATTGAAATTAAAACAACTACGATTGCAATGTTCTATAAGTTCACAAGTTTACTAGATAYAAGATATAATATTGACTAATATAACAGCTGTGCGTCTATGCAAGTTTACGTTTGAATAATTTATTGATATTGATATTTTGTATTATTTATTATTATTTTTTTTAAATGTATTTATTCAAATATTATGCATTAATATGTATGTAATAAGTTATACATATAAATATAAACATATTATATAGTTTAAACCATTAATTACCTCATATCATGAGTGTGGAAACATAATTTTTGTTTCTATTAGATTAAWAAATAAATAAATATAATGTTGGTTATTAATATTTAATATTTACCTGAACAAAAAAAAGTATGTATAAATGCACAAAAATATTTTTAATTGATTACTTGAATGTAATAATATTATTACGGAGGCATAGGTACATATATTAATTTTATTTCACAATCTGATATAAGTATAATATAGTTTGTAAATTTAGGGCTAACAGTTAATATTTTTTTCTTGGTAGTATACTTTCAAAATTTGAGAATTGACGTCTCATTTTTCGTATTCCATTTGGAAGTTGGGTAAATAACTATTGTAACCTGAAATGTAAAAATATTTTCATCAATGCTTATGTTTAAAAAATACTGTAGAAGCTATTACTATATATTTTAACATTATAAATTTATARTAAAATAGAACATGGACTTAATGGTTCATATTACGTATTATACAGGAGAACACTTGGATGTCGTGAGATTCGGTGAGAGATGATATAGATGGGTTGAATAAAAAATGAGTCATGTAGAAGTAAAAGAAAGATCATCGTATTATCAAGCCTCTATCCCGTAAATAAATAGCGTTGACGAAATTATGGTAGGAATAAATAATTAGTAATTACCTTTCATTTAGGTGTGACACTAACAGTGCGTGTTATTAGTGTTGCACGTAATCAAAAATTAGCAAGGAAATTCATATTTTTGATTGGTGTAGAATCGCAAATGAGCGAGTTGGACAACACAAACACTATTATATTTYCTCCAAAATATCGAATGCTGAGATATTTGTAAATGGGAAGTGAATAAATACTTTTTTTTTTAATTTGGAAGGAAATTTACAGCGATTAGAGCGCCGGTTCTACAGACTATGTGTGGTGACATATTAATATATGAATCATCATAATATTATACGTGTAACGTGTACTATGTGTATTATAACTACTAACTACACATGTATATTAAGGATTTCATTGTTTAGTCGGTAGACTATGAGTTAAATGATAAGCACTCAACCRTGAGTACATGGTGGGCTAAAARAGTTAGAGGAAATAGTAAGAAGACATGAAATATATACAAGTAGGTAGCGTCTGAGCCAATTACAATGGTATTGTAATRTGACTTAAAAATAAGGAAAATTACAAACCAAAAAGCTGAAAACAACATGTATTTTTTGAAATACTGTCAGCATAAAATTAATAAATCTAAACTTGAAACGTTCGTAAAATAAATTAAAATGTGAGTTATATAACCACAAATATGAATCCTATATAGATAAAAATAACAATACAAATCGTTTTGAAATTAAACAGTGATTTCATTATTTAAAAAAAAATTAAAAATTAAAAAATTGTTATGCCAAATATTGTAATGTTTTCATAGGTATAAACATATTATTTGATTTAACTTCTTAAAGTATTTGGAATTAAAATTGAAAATGTCTATACAAAATCTAACGTCAACGTTGCTGCAAGTATAAAATACAATGCTAAAAGTTTTGCTCCCAATAGGGAATCAAATACAGATTTTCCAAATGATTTTCAGTCACAAGTTTTCGTATTTTCTAGAAAACTATTGGGAAATTCCATAGATAAGCTTTTTAGAATACCACTTATCTCCACTCATTATTTTCTATGATGGATATTGGCGATTGCGAAATTAAATTTTTGCAAAAAATATTCCCATAAATGATGATATAAACATTATATAAATATTTTTAATTTTTACAATTCGGGGCAATTCGTAAGTTCAAATATAATGCAACGAGACAATAAATATTTTTTTGATTGGTTATAATATTACATTTTATAATCTAAAATTATTAAAATTAGTGCAACTGTTTTCCCTYCCTCCCTCCCTCCCTCAAAAAAAAACTATTGAAAATATATTGTATTCGTGATAAAGTTTATCGAATAACTGTTTTAAATGTTCGTTCAAAACCGTTAATACCTATATTATTTCAAATGTTAACAAAGCAATACATACACCTGTGGCGAATGACTATATATAGTGGCAGGTGCTTAGCACACATTTTCAATTCAAATTACAAGCGTAACAATCGTCTCCAAACCCATATTGTAAACGAATAGATAGTACGCGCATTAAGTATTCAATTTAAACGTAATTTACCTGGCGGAAAAATATAAGCTTTATAATTATCGTTGTCTCCGTATCCTGAGTACTCGTTCATGTAGTCCACTGGATTTCTTTTCCCCCACGAACCTGTTTGCACACAAAGAATATTATATATTATACATATATATTTTTGTATCATCATTCACTATTTTTTTTTTTWAATTTACATGCACGTAATAAACTGCATCATAATGTATAGTACCTATATTCGTTTTATATTTACAACATCTTATAAATAAAACGGTATTGATAAGTTGCCCACGGATAATAACTGCAGCAGCAGGTATATAAGTATTACTTATATAATTTAAAATTGCAAATATATTATACAAGCTAAAATACAACACATTCTCACKTCAAAATAGTTATATATGAAATTACTAATTAATAAATATTAAGCTTGGATTTTTGAAAATAAATAATTAAAAATATATACTTTTATTATATTTGTACATAAGAGTATAAAAGATATTAATTAAATTGTTTCATTTAGATACATCGAAATTATTTTAGAGCATATTATTTATTCAAAGGATCAAACATTTAGAAGGTCGGTTTTTGCACAGTTATTTTATAACAAAATACACTTAAAAGGAATTTCCTATTATCCTATTTTTAAGATATTATAATTATTTATAAAGCATAATTTAAAAATGTATTTTTTTAAATCGTATAAGCCTATGTATAGCCAATAAAATATAAGAATGTCTCAATAAAAATGTATAGTTTACAGTCCAAYGGAARTATACGGCATTATAGTTTTAGATATGATGGTTAATAGTAGATACTTGAAGAGTTGTACCTAACTATATTTTAACTTTAACATAATAGCTTAACTGGGATTTCGTTAACATTAAAAGTCAAGTAAAAATATATATTCAACTTTCGTATCTAAAACGTCCACTAATAATCCCCGTGTTATTATGTAGGTAGTACTATTGCTGATGAATAATAAACAAAAGTATAATCTTGTTTACTTATTACCATCTGTATAATAATATGCTTTGCTTCTATCTAAAGCAGCTACCCATATTGTGTGTATTAAAACATACATTATTGCTCCACAATATTGGCATACGTAATTACGTAAGCAAGGATAAAGAAAAGGTAATACGAATTAATTATGTTTAATAATACATTTTTCAAATATCAGATCTACAAAATGCATTGTACCAATAAAAATAATATCCTTTATTTTAATCGAAGGTATATTTATTGAAAATGATTGTACTCTATCAATAACATCAAACTTTAATTGTTAAAAGAATTCATCCAAGTGGGCTACACATTTTAATGTTAAATAAATATTTTATTTTGAGTTTYACCTATTATTCTTGTATTAAAGTTGTGGTTTGTGTTGACTGTTTAAAATCAACAATAGAATCATTAACGTTTTATATAACTTTCTTTTAATATATATTTTTTTTTTTTTTTTTTGGAACGGATCGCCTTTTTTGCAAAAATATTACAAATACAAAGTTTCAATTAAATTATTATATACTATGACAATAATTTTATATATTGATATACTGAAATAATAATTTTATCATAATATGTGTATTACAATTTATATTATTGTGTTAAACTGAAATGTAGAATGTAGGATATAATAATTTATTTCATAATTCACATGGTTTTGCATAAGCACGTGCTAATAGAATTTAACCTAATATTTTAATAACTATAATTTTAACGTGAAAGATTAAAACGCTGTAAAATGCTTTTGTTTAAATGTAGATTATGATAATCCTTTTAACTTAAAACATCTCTAAGCATATTCGGTTTTAAACCCTAATAGTGTGGGTTCTATGAATACCTACTCATCTACAGAWCAGACGAATTTCCGCTGAAGCCTACTGACGGGAACCACGAAATTTATGGACTTTTAACTTAGTCATAAACCAAAATGATTGTTTAATATATTTTACTATAATATTATAAGTAATTATTATGTTGAATAAAAAAAAAAAACAGAATTAATARGTACCATAATAATTAAACTTTACTATAATAGAGTAATAATATAGCTATATTTTGCTGTAAATCTAACCATTTTTGTAATACGATTATAGAGAGTTTTGTTATTTTTTCCTAATAATACATTTTTGCAATTCCTTTGAACTCCCAATAACCTCTATTTCCTTAGGGAACTTTTTAGCTATTAAGAAAATCTCTTCAATTGTCACGTACTTGTGTATTTAAATTATGTTGATTAATAATTTTAAAATAYTTAGAAACACGTTCAATTGACTTGTTTAAAGTTTTATTTATTTCATAACATGCATAATAGATRGTTAGACAAAGTACAAGATATTGCTTGTAAAAAAACGATTCTCAGTTGGTATTAAGTAAAGTCAAAATTTCGAAGTTTGGAATAAAGGATTTATCGTCTTGTTGTATTTTACAAAAACTTATATACGGTACATAAATAATAAACTACATAGTCTTAATAATATACTTAGGTACTTTGGTACTTATATATGCCAGAAGTAATTAAAATTAAGAATATTAACTATTGCCTAAAGTATAAAAGTAATTACAGATTTTGTATTTCAAAGAGCTGCGTCCGTAGATTATATTATAATAAATAAATAATTGATACAAATTAGCCTTGACACATCAATTGCTATTTAATGTAAATTACATAATTTGCCAAACAACATTTCAACAATAATGACCCGTCTTATAGTAAATTAGATAAAATGTTTGGCTTACCGGCTTACCTCTAAAGCTTGTCCAATCAGCTGCTCTTTTTCCCCAAGATCCCTGAAAATTGTCCCATGATCGTTTTTCTGCTTCATTAGGATTTTCGTCTTCATATTTGTCTAAATACTCTTCAAACTGAGACAATTGACCACCGTCAGGCTATAATAACAATATTATTGAGTAACTAAATTATAAAATTATAGTTTGATATACATTGTATTGTAATAATTCCTATGCATAACTCACATTTCACCTTTTGACGACGTCAACAATAATAATAATAATAATATGGGATAAGTGCAGTACTAGTCAAGCACACGTCATAAATTGTAAAACTTTATACGATGGCATTACGTGTGTGAATATCAAAATACACGTACCTGATCCTTAAACCTCTTTCCCCAGCCCCCGGACTGCATGTCCTTCCATCCACGCTTTCCCCATCCGCCATGTAACTTTTGCCAACCCTGTCTTTTGCCCCATGACGAGTGTAAATTCTGCCAATCCTGTGTCCGTTTGCCCCACGTGGTCTTTAAGTTTTGCCAACCACGTTTGCCCCAGCCAGTCGTCTGCAAATCTCGCCATGCCCGTTTCTCCTCTTGATCTTCGTCGAAAGATTTCGTGTAGTCCGAGTTATCCTATGGTCGTTTAAATTTATATTATTGGTATACCACATATCATATAAATATAGGGCTGATCAATATAATGTTGATTTATGTTTAAAATGTAGTACCTACTACAGATAATAATTATTTGGATATTATCTAACTCGTATATAGTTGTACCATGCACATTATGTGTATATACACTATCAAAGTACTATAATAATAAATAAATATTTATTTTATAATGCTAAAAAAATTAAGGCTGTGTATATTATTTAATAACTATATATTATCACATTGGAACATAGAAATAGATTTTTATTTCAAATTTTATTAGAAATAATAATACGTTTTATGTAATTGTACCTTTATATTATCTATTAGAATAGAATAAGTTCATAAATTCATGAAGTACTATTGCGGATTACACCAAAAATAAAAAAATAAATAATACCTACTTCATGATTGTTATAGTTAGTACTCACACATTGTACTCAAATTATAAACATAATGCAGACATCAGTGGCGTAACTATGGAGTAGCGAGGGGTAGCG